GGTATGTGGGCTGGGAATGTGGCTCAGGATGGGAAGGGTCCAGATCACTCAGGCCTCATGAGTCTTAAGAATTTTGGATTTTCTTCTGAGAACATTTAGATATTGTTTGGCTACCATTTTAACTGTGTCTAAATATGATGGGAATTTGGGACCCAGGGCTGAATAAAAGCTTCCTGCTAAATGTTATATTCCCTTAATAAATAATTATTGTTTATCTACTGTGTTTTGGATGCAACTTTATATTCTGTAGTCTCATCTGAAGAATAGGTTTGATCCTAGCTCATGGGGTGACTGTGAAGGTGAAATGGGTTTATTTTATTAAATGTCATTACCCATGTTTTCATGGTTTCCTTTACCTCTGCCTCATCAGCACCACACCCGGTAAAGAGAGTTCCTTGTTTCAATGATTACTGTTAGTTAGTCAGAATAAATGAAATAAGAATTATTAACCAATTTAACCTTTCTTTATTTGAAAAGAAGATAGGTAGGTACTCATTCGTCTTCATTTTTTATTTCACACTATTTCCACTGGAGACTATTATATTGACAAAGTCTGGAAATAGTGAAGTTATGTCAGGATAATTTTTAAAATGAATCGGCATGAAGTGGAACCTTTGTCTGACTGCATTGTTTTGTTTAGTGTTTGTGCGTGTGTGGGTGGTGGTGATGGTGGTGGTCGGAGACAGTAGTATATAACACCAAATGGAATAACATTTCCCTTCCTCCTGTAGATTCCACCACCCCATTCTCAGCCCCTTGGAGAGCAGTTTCCAACTGGAGGTTGATGTCATGAGTCATCTCCTGAAGGCCCAGGCTCAGGTCTCCGAGTGGAAGTTCCTCCCGTCTCTGGTTAACTTGCACAGCGCCCACTCCAAGCTGCAGACCTGGGGTCAGATCTTTGAGAAGCAACGGGAGACCAAGAAACATCTGTTTGGAGGGCAGTCTCAGAAGGCTGTTCAGCCCCCACACCTTTTCCTCTGGCTGATGAAACTCAAAACCATGCTCCTTGCCAAGTTTAGCTTTTACTTTCATGAGGCCCTGAGCCGACAAACAACTGCTTCAGAAATGAAAGTGTTGACTGCGAAAGCGAACCCAGACCTTTTTGGAAAGATTTCCAGCTTCATCAGGAAATACGACGCTGCCAACGTGTCCTTAATTTTTGACACCCGAGGTTCCGAGAGTTTTCAGGGCCACGGCTATCACCACCCCCATTCCTACCGAGAGGCCCCAAAGGGTGTGGACCAGTACCCAGCCGTGGTGTCCCTGCCCAGTGACAGACCGGTCATGCACTGGCCCAATGTCATCATGATCATGACGGACCGCACCTCGGACCTGAACAGCTTGGAGAAAGTGGTCCACTTCTACGACGACAAAGTCCAGAGCACGTACTTCCTCACCCGCCCAGAGCCTCACTTTACCATTGTCGTCATTTTTGAGTCAAAGAAATCCGAGAGGGACTCCCACTTTATTTCATTCCTCAATGAGCTGTCACTTGCCCTTAAGAACCCCAAAGTTTTCGCAAGTCTGAAACCTGGGTCCAAAGGTTAGCAGGCTATTTGTAGGAAAGCTTGAAAAGACTGGCCATTGTGTTCTTCCTTGCTCTGCTCATCCCCAGGGGCCATGATTCAAGTTCATACCCACTCAAGCTTCTTTCTGGGCTGAATTAAAGACAGCCTCTCCCTAACTCTTGCACACTTTATAAGCAATCTAGGCCAATTGAAGAAAGATTCCAAAGAGTCATCCAGGATTGTGACTGTGTATTTCCATGGGGTAGCAGGAGGACTTTTGTATTGTCCCGTGTGTCCTCAAAGTCAGATGGAATATTTATTGTCCCCTGATCTTTGTTTCCAGATGTTGTCTCGTCCTCAATATTGTGTCCTATGATGATTCCAGCCACTTAGCCCATTCCCCATCTTCGTAGAAGAGTGAT